AGATTTTAGAAAAAAATTTTCTTAAAAATTTTATTTGCAATAATCTGAGGTATCTATCTTTTTGCACCGGACCATATTGTGGTTTTTCTTCCCGCGCGCACATATATATGAACATATATACGAATACAACTAATCCGTATCGAAATATATTAATATCAAAAAAGATAATTCAACAATCCATTTCGTAACTTGTGCAACAAATAGCCTACGAAAAACAGAACACACCATGCATAATATAACATATAACATAATACAAAACCAGCCAATCAAACTTTCCCACTTTCTTCTCGATCATCTTATTCCTATAACCCACAAAAATCAAAAAATTATTGCCATTCTGCGAATTTCCCCACGCCACAAAACACCAACACCAACAACAACAACTCGCCGCTAAACATAAAAAGTATTTCCAACCAAATTTTTGCCGCACTTAAACTACATTTTACTCAATGATTTGATATTTAATAAGAAATTACCAGTCACACCGTACCAACACAAGACAAAACATTACAGCTAATAAGTATAAATTAAACCAATAAACCTTTCAATAAACAATAATCTCTGCTTCCATACAGAACAAACCCAAAAAAAAAAAACGTATAAAAGAACTACTAATACCATAACAAAACTCAACTAAAGAATACCAATTATAAAATAAATTAGACATTATAACGACAACTTGATTCTCCACATTCAAAAAAAGAACACACTTTCCAACCATACCTAACCAACTCAATAAACCACAAGGTAATTAATACACACTGTACATTTTACAAAAGCTTCTCCATAACAACAAAGTTTATGATTCCATGAAAACCTGACATATAAATACCTGATTATGATATCAACAGAGGGGGCGAAGCCCCCCCAAAAAAACTATAGCTAGTTATGTCAATAACATTTGCGGATACTAATACTGCGATTTCGAACAATTGACCTTACCACACAATACAATTTATTGGCCAATCATAACAATGTCATGTATTATACGATAGAGAAGTTATTGAACAATGGTGACGGATGATAGATTTATTCATGTATTATCATACTAAATACAAGAACCGTGCCATCATATGATTTAATGTTAACTCGATTAATCCTCAATGGTGGCAGTGCCGGGAGTTTATCACGTGTAATGACAGATAAGCAGACAGTACTGCTTATAAGATGAAGCAGATTTAGATTTATTATGAATATATCATTATCTTCGTTGTATTTTCAAGTTCTCCGTCGACAATAGCTATAATCTAGTAAGCTAGTATAATAGAGATGAAGAACAAAAGTATGAGCCCAACTTTAATTATTAACAAGATAATCAGAGTTGTGGTTATGACTTTATCGTAGTACAGTGCAGTGCCTGTTCAAAAGTCTCTGACAATCAATGAAATGGAGCATATGAAAATCTAAGTCTGTTGTACCTCAGTTAGAACCCGTCCCAGTTCTGGACTGAGTGACTAGGGTTCTGAACTGAGACAGGTCCCGAGCTCAGACACAACAAGTCTATATTGGCCGTATTTACTAAACAACAATATTGTTATGAAGCTAATTCATCATGATAATAACGATGCGATGGCATACTAACATATATACTAATACTGACACTTATTGGCAGAGACCAGCTCCATTCATTCCACTAATATTAACATTAACGTTAAGATAAGAAGTACTTAAACAAGTATGAAAAATCGAAAACAACTGGTACTAGACAAACAAATCCACATGATAAAGTGAAAATCACGTAAATGGTAGGGTTTGATGTCCATAATTCTTTATTTCCAAGCCACATCTAACAAAGGTAATTAATCACACACCCATTAACGAATTACACTGTCTAAGTGCTGTATTAGTATTGCACAATTAACTTTTATTATTATTATCATTGTCTAAATCATAGCAGACTTTGTTGTTGTAATAGTCTTTCCTTTTTCCGCCGCAAATTAAATTTATTTGATAACATTACAATGTTGGCTAATTACTGTATTATCTGAACGAGGTAACGTCATGTGGATTCAACAAGTCACATGCAAAATATCTTGATTTTAGTAATTTAACTCGAAAGACCAAATATCACCACACGTATACATTGGACAAAGAAGAATACATTTTTGTTACGTTCTGTCTATCATACCATATTTGGTAATCTAAAAGGTGTAGTTCCAAAGCAGTTGCACAAACGTTTGTTAAACCTCACTCTCAATTTAATTACTATATCAAGAAATAATAAACAAATGCGCTTTACTGTTTCACGGCATTCTAATCAATATTCTAAATATAATAAGGCTATCAAGTTTCTTTTTCAATTATCAGACCTTGTTTACGATATAACTACAAGGTAAGCGCAATATTTATGTAGTTAGTTTATTCACAAACGTCGTGCTCAGATACGATAACAATAAACTACTTCAAAAGCCCGCGAAAATTCTGAAAAAAAAAATTTTTAACCTTAAAATTGTGCACACAAATTTAGACGCAGGCAGAAAGATCAATATGACTTTTTTTGGTCAAGGCAATGGTCATTGTACTACTCATGATACATAACCAGGTTTGTGATCAAACCCCATAGAATTTGCGACTTCCATTTCATCAGACTCGTATGTAAGAGCCTATTGCTATTGCGTGATTTCTCTCTCGGAAAACTATGAACAGCGCCACGTTCATGCTTATCTCTATCCATTGTCTGTTCTATGATAAAAAGTTCAAATCTCATTTGTACTCAATATTATGTCCACAACAATTCCAGAGGAATTTTGGCTGATAATCTGCAGGCGACAGTCTTGTCAATTTCGGGTCGCGTCATACATACCGTATATATCGCTTGCCGTCTCTACGTCTACAAGATATTACTGTAAATGGTAAATGCAACGTTAATTGATGTTTGTGACAAACACTGGTACAAAAGAACGGGAATGAGCGAAAGCGGAGATTGTCATACCGCCAAGAAAGACTAGTTTCGACATTGGAAAACTATGAGATCAGAAGTATTATATAAATAAAGGTGGAGAGTCCATGTCAGGTATCGGTATTCACGATAAAGCAAAATTCTGTATTCATCATGGATAAACCAACATCTAATCTGTTAAATGGAGATCTGTCGGATATGACGTAAGTGATCATAACGCTGTTGTCACGACCGTGCTCCCATTCAAATTTCGCGCGTTTAATGTTTCTATCTCTTGCCATATAGTCAAAAAAAGAAAATTGTCACTGATGAGTGCTCTACTTCCGACTCTGACTCTGAGCCGATCACCACCACGGCTGTCAGATCTGTACCATCATCATCAGCGCTATCCACTCAAAAAACCTCTCAATCAACTCAAAAGCGTCGTTGTTCGGACAGGGAGAACTTCACTTTACCACTTCTCAAATACATTGGCCATACCGCAAAAACACTTGTTCTCACTTTCCTGTTCGACTGGTCGCAAATTATTCGTCATCCTATTGGATCATTGACGACTCTAGTAATATATCCATTATCATCTGGAATCATGGTCGTTGTTTCCTTAGCGTTTCGAATGGGGAGTCGCTTCAAGCGAGGACAAAAGAAGAAAGGTAATAAAATTTATATCGCGAACAAGCCGATCGTATTGTTTAAGGTGTAATCGTGAATGCGTGTATTATTCTCTCCTTCACTCGCGGTGCTTACGTATATATCGGATTAAACCTCCATATTCATTAGTACATTCAAAGATTTTTGACGAGAACAGAAGACCACTTATTGAACGGGCTGGCCACTATCTCGACAACTCATTAGAACTCAAAGTAGACGAAATCACAAAGATAACCCATTATGATTGCTACGCAGACAATCGTTACAAAACCCCATCTTTCAGCATAGACGTTGCCGAGCTCCTCTTAATGCTCTCGGCTCTCATGTATGAACGAGAGCCTCTAGACAGTAATGACAAGAACGAGGGTATCGAGTATGATCTCGGTGATGTGGCAGACGACAACAATGACAACATCGTGAACGGAACGCAAGCTGAGTTAGACGAGAGTCAGATCAAGGAAGAGGAGAATGAGACGGATAGTGAAGGCAGGAGAAGGGATCACAGTATTCTATACATTCTTAGGAACGCCAATAAGTGGGGTTTAAAATTCTATAAACTGTCTGAATTAGGAACCGAGGCGAGTCCATTTTGTGGTGCATTCTATTCGAAGGAACATAAGTTTATAGTTGTCGCATTTAAGGGAACAACACCGACCGACTTCGCCGAGTGGGCTGTCGACGCTACTTTCATGCGTACTAGTGGCAAGACGCAGTTATTCGGTGAAGTGCATGAAGGATTCTACAG